TTTTTGATTATAAAAAAAGTGTTCAACTTCCAGAAAAAAATCGTAGATATTGCAAAGTGAATTTAATCGTATATATCTCTTTCACGATACAAAATGTAGTCAGGATTAAGTTACGACGGAAACTTTTTATTATATTACGATTTCCGATTGGGATCGATCTCATTTTCACGCAATTATACAATTTATATTAGTTATTAAGTTGGTTTTCAATTGAAGTACAATGCAGTTTTTCTTGTATGGTATACAAAAAGTTCATGATGGAAACCATCAGTAGGTACTCGTTTTCAAATACCAATATACGCGTTCCATATAAAACTGTAATATAAGTCAGTTATGACAAACAATACAAAACATTTCGGTAAATAATAATGGACTCACAGGGTCCAAAATATCCTCTATTGAACGTAGCATCAGCGGTATTTAACGCAACACATTATCTTACTTCTTCTGTGTCTTTATCCTAACAGAAGGATATAAAAGGTCCTACTTTATTCTATCGTTAACGCTTAATGTAACAATGCCGGTATTTATAAAACATAGTTCAATTTTCGGTGATGTAATAGGCATGTATACGAAAATGTTATCATTATCGTCATAAGGTCGTCAGTCTTAAGACTGGTTGGTCACGCATCTGCACTGGTTCCTATCCTGAGTTAATCTTCGCATTTCCCTAAAACTAGAACATCTCACATCGTTAAATATTTGTAAACAGTAATCTAATCTACCTCTACTTCTCTTAACTTCTGTTTCTGCCTCTAATATGTCTCTAACTAGCCCTTCATGCATGATAAGGTGTCCTACCAATCTATCTCGCCTATTTCTTATTGATTTCCATAGAGTCCTCTGTTATACATTAACATATCGAACAAAAAATTTCCTAATATAATGTTGTTACATGTAATTATTGTTCGTATTAAATCTCTCTAATAATAATTTTCTACATGTTATTATTGAGTAGGTACATATTATTGACATATGGAACGAAATAATAAATGTTGATAAGATAAATGAATCAACCCCACAAAATACCAATTGTAAATTGAGAATAGCATAGTCCATCGCTAAGAAAAGTTTTCATCAGTTGCATCGCTTTATCAAATTTCCAAATAAAGCACATTTATTAAATCAAACACGCTTACTCGCCAGTTTTCGTATCTCCTTTCCTTCTTCCCTTTCCTCCATGAGTAGCACGATTATTAATCTTAAATTAATTAATTAACAAGTGTCGACGCAGGTGGTTTCCGCTTAAAGTTTGTGAAACTCACAAAGTGAAATTTGCAAACAACGTGTTTCCCACGTCACTTCGAACAATTGCTGCTGAAAATTCCACAATCAGGGTTATAAAATCCCAGGCAAGCACCTATTACGTTCACGGAGTCATCGAAATTTCTGTATAATTTTTTTTATCTGTACTTATTTGTTTTGCGGGAGTTACAGCGCGCGTCCGCTCCGGTTGCCGCGGTAAAGCGTCTCCACGAAGCGACGCCGATGCACTGAAGCGTCTAGGCGCTCGAGACGCCCACCGCCGCTCACCAATTCTATCCCGGTCGACCGCTACCACATTCGTACTAAGGTTCGTACGCCAACATCAAGGACGGAAGCTGGGAACATCCTCTACCAACCTCCAACATGAATGTAGGTACTTGCTAATTTTATTGCAACTTGACCGAAATGTGTAGTCACATGTCGTAGACAAAACAGTCTTATTAAAATTAAGTGTCGTGTTGTCTAATGAGAAGCACACTAACTTTTATTAACTGACCATTTGTTTATTTTGACCATAGATACTGAATGAGCACACCAAAGACTTCAAACGAGTTTAATTCCCTGTAAGATTTAAGTAAATACATAGGGTAGTTGATCAGAATCAGAATTTCTATTGTTCAATTTTGAAAGCACGTGAATTTGAGATTTTTTAGGAAAGCACTTAGAATAAAATTCAGTTTTTAGGCACTCTGCTCTTTCTTCAGCTATCTGTCCACAAGCTTTTCTTTTAAAATTTTCCTTATTATCGATACTTGTATTATTTATAACAAAATCTCATTCATTAATTTATTGAAATTAATACTTAACATTGGTGTGTTCCTAAAAAGGCATTTGGTTAGATGAACATTAATAATAAGCGAATACAGGGTAGAAATCTTCCTGAGTCTGCTGACTTAATCAGAGGGTGATTGTAAAGAAAATATTAAGTATATAGACAAAAATTTTCAGTCTCCTTCCAGTCTCTCAGAGTCTTTCAGTGTCTCTGAGAACGTCTCTCACAGTCTTTCACAGTCTCTCAGTTATTACCTAGGTGTTTTTATGGATCTCTCACAGTCTGTGTATGAGAGACTCGAACGATAAAATTGTTGATTCAGAGATTCGAGTCTCTCACAGAGAGACTGAATGAATAAAACTGAAAATTGAGAGACTCGATTCTCTCGTAGAAAGACTGTTGAACTGAAATATGTTGAACTTTTAACCATGTCTATCCAGACACCACTTATTGAGAGATTCGAGTTTCTCGTTCAGAGACTGAATACGAAATGAGGACCTCTCTATGGACGATTCGAGTCTTTCGTTCAGAGACGCTGAACAGTTTTTTTGACAGTCTCTCGACAGTTTCTCTCAACGACACAAGAGAGACTCGATGAGAAACGGAGACTCGAGTCTCGCTTTCAGATACTCTGAAAGATTGAACATTTTTATCTCGGGGAAGGGTCAGGCTTTCACGGCCGGCATTATCCGAATAATATGACTGTTGGGATTTAATGACGACTGTTTTTCTTCACTGAGAAACAGAAGTTTGGATATTCGTTCCTTCGTAAGGCCCCCGTGAAACGTAGAAAAACATAGTCTATCAGTAGATGGCGATGTATTGTCAACAAATTGATATTACCTACATCAAGTTGCTAAGTAGATAGGTTATTATAATAACGACATTGTTCGAACAATTTTACAAAGAAACTTCAACATCATAAGAAAGTCTTTGTCTAACAAAATGTATATTTATATTTAAAATTTAATTAACAATTGCTAATTGTGCCTTTCATTACGAACTCTCTGGCCGTGATTACTGTCTACCTAATACTCGTCTTTATGAATACTAAATGGAGTTACCCGAGATGAAGTAAAAGCACCGAAAACAGCAACAATAGATAAAGAATCGGAGCAAAGTTGAGGCAGAACCGAAAATACATATAACTATAGGACTTTTTTGGACTGAAGCCAGCTCTTTTATAGCCCAATGAATTGATTGAACTATGAACTAAAACTAAGAAGATGCTTCGATCGTCAGCAGATAATTCACTGTTTTATATATCAGGATGTTATCGAAAGCAAGAATTTTGTATATCTCCACAACATTTTAACTTACGATTAGTTCCTTTTCCGATAAATCCAACCGGATTTTAAAAATTGTACAAATTTTCATCAAAATTAAATTACTAGGGAAATATAAACTATACAATATTCTACGTTTATGCGCGTAGAGGTTTGTAATCTCAAGATCCTAATACTTTCTCAAATTAGCTGACTATTCAAATGTCTATGTAAGGGATAAAACTGTGCCTTCGATCTGCCCTCGATATCTCGAATGTTTATCTAATTAAGAACCACCAATCTTTTGACGTCTTGGATTTCAATATTCGTCCATAGGGTCTTACGTAGAATGTGATAGTGGAAGTAACGGAAGGATTACGTTATAGCATGGTTAAAATATTTACTATGCAAGCAAATGACTTTTCACAAACTAGTTTTGCTTGTAGTTTGCCATAATTTTTATTTCTGACTACATCCGCCTTCGTTTTAATGAATAGCATAAGTATGTACAATAAATAGGGTCCAAATATGGACTGTACTCTAAATATGGCTTCTACAAGACATTACACGCAATCAAACATTAACTGACTAAATAAGTTGGTGTTCTATATCAGCTTGCACGAACTGAATGAAAGATAATGTGTCCAACAAATTGCACGGTAGATATCTTTCTCAATACTTAAGTACTTCATTATATCTACTTATAATATAGATTTCTTAAGAATATTTCTTTTAAAATAATGTTTTAAGGGCATTCGTAATCAGATTTAATCGTTTTGATTTATCAAATTTAGAAATTGTGATAACTTCCATATGCGTTTATAGAGGGTTCTAGTCTAGGGGTTGTAAAGACATGAAACGTCGGATTAGTTACTATAAGGAAGTTATTTAAGGTATTTACGAATTGCTTAAGTAGTTAATATGTGGAAAATAGGTTTTTTATTTTGCAATGACAAAATAATTATTTGTCATGTTCTGCATTTTCATTAAGCAATTAACACTTGCTAAAAAATTGTGTACTGCAAGACTTGTTAGTAATAATTTCTTTAGAAAATGGGGCAACAGTATTAACAAAATTAAACTAAAATGATAGCAAAACCCTCCTCGGAATTTCCTTTGTGATTAATCTACAGAAAAAGTATAATATTTTTTATATCATCTAGGTCGTACAATCCCTCAACAAAAATAAATTCAATACCGACTCATAGTTATCCAAGGCTTTTCAGTATTTCTTTTTTTTTGTGTGAGCGAAAAGAATGACAAAGTAGACTACAAAATTTCAGTAGCTTTTCTACAACTTCGGACGTCGGAAAATAGCTACTCATTTCGAGATTAGCACTTCATTTCTAACAATAGGAGTAATAAGCCGTGGGAATAATAATTACCGTAAAGTTTTCCGTTACGTCGCAACGCGCCGCGTCACCTAACACAAAATGAATGCACACGAAAATCAACACAAAAGAATCGCAAATTGTCTTACCCGGCGCATTGAAATTATTCTCTGTTTACTATAAAAGCATTCGCTACTTCGCTACTTCAAAAAATATACGTTATTAAAACCGTAAATGCAATCATCCAGTGTATATTCAGCATTAATCAGCCACTACAGAGTAAAATATTATTTCAACCTTACAATTACACAGACGTAGAATCCTACAAAACCGAATGTCACAATCTAGTTCGGGAATTCCTAACCTAAATCTCAAAAAATGCTTCTATAACATTTTTAAAAGAACCACCATGATAGAATAAGAATATTTACTCATTTCCTACCTGCTTGCCATGACTGAGCTCAAATGCATCAATATTTTGAAATTTTAATTTAACTAAATTGCCATGAACGAATGCCACAGGTGATCGATACCAGCGGCGTCTTTGATATAATCGAAAGCTGGAAGCCACGAACCATAGAAAATCATATTGTCGACATGACAGCACAATAGATGGAACTTGCTGGAAGTTTCCAGAAACATCAAGAATATTCCATATATTCATTGCAAATAACAATAAGTGACCAGCGTCAGACGGCACTGCGCGAATTAGAAATCTGAAGTGAGTTAAATTCACTCTAATATTAATAGAGACATATTAGGGGCTGAAACGGAAGTTAGGAGGGGTAGAGATAGACCTAGATTAGATTAATGTTCGCAAATAGTTAAGGATATGGGTTGTTCTGGTTTTACGGAAATGACTGACGACCTTATGATGATGATATACAAGCAAATAGATATAAAATAAAATTCCCTATATGAGATTGGAACAACTCCAAATTGTAATATACTGGGATAATTCTATGGCTACATTTGGATTCAGCTTTGCATGCTGGGTTGAAAACGACAACTCCGATATAACTTCATTACCCCCGTTATATTATTAAATTTACTGTGTACTAATTTTATTATTCACAAGTTGACCGAATTACCTTTTAATGTTCTTTGTACATACATAAAGCAAAAGTCATAAAAGGGTTTCCAACCAATAAAATTAATCAAATCGTGTTTAATTAATGATTTTATGCTTTAATAGTGAATGCAATTTGTTTACTATGAGTTATCTGAAATTTATTTACTGAACCGTTACTGAATATACATATATTAATTATATTAAACCAATTTTGGTTTTCCTAGCAGTAGGAACCTTTTCTGGGATTCTATTGGTTCAAATTAAAAAGTCATTTGAATAAATCATTTTATTTTTTAGCGACGTTTCGTCTCTCTTTAATCGGCCATATCAAATTAACATAGCCTTGAAAATGACCTCGTAGAGAGAGTCGAAACGTTGCTAAAAAATAAAAAGACTTATTCCGATGATTTTTTAATTTGAATCAAAAGAATCTCAATAAATGTTTCTGTTGCTCGGAAAACCAAAAAAATACAATTACTACAAGTTAGTATTTCCATAGCAAATATGTCCCGCGG